ACAATAGTAACGTAGTACATCAGTTTATGTAAGATATCCAACTATCTTACTTACAAAATAATGAAAAGATACGTAATGACCATATGTATTTTATTCCTTGAAAACATTACTTATTAAAAAGTACATATAACTAAAATACTAGTGGAACTCAGCGAGAAGAATTAAGGATGAATAATGATTTTTCCAAGAAAGCGTTTCTTGTGGATATTATAATAATTTATTAGTTGAATTCACGAGTCAGTTGAATCTAGGCCACCATGGAAAACCTGAAAGCACTAGACGCCCGTTTCGTCCTAGTGTGAGACTCTTCAGCAGTGGGCACCCACGATCCCACCCACGGGTTTCGAACCCAGGACCTATCAGTCTCGTGCACGAACGCCTAGACTTTACACCACTGAGCCGGCATCCAACAATGTTAATGTCTGACTTCAACCATTCCACGAAATTGATCGACACATCCATTAGTGTCTTCAGTGTGTTACAATCTTACAACAGACCCGGTTGAGTTTTACTGGTCACTGCTTCTCACTAAAACTTCAAGAATAATTTATAAAAATACAAAATAAAATTAATAACTAATAACTACCTTTTTAATAGCTAATAATGAATGACGTTCTTTTAGAAAATTTTTCAATTCTAATTCTGCTTTATTATTAAATAAATTACTATATGGACGATATAGTTCTAAATAATCTTTTGGTCCTATAGAATTAGCACGAAAAATAATCATTGCTTGATCTGTATATTCAATTATTGATTGATCACTAAATGTTACTGAACGTAAGTATAATGAATGTGAGCTTAGTTCCGGGAAAATATCCACTTCGACCTTTAAGAAAATTAATTTTAAAAAAAAGAGTAAAACTATGATATATTGTGACATTAAAACAACATTGTCATAGTAAATCGTATATACATAAACATTGCATAAAAGAAGAAAGAATTAGTTCGTAGAAATTAAGGTATAACGTAGTTTTAATCTGACAATTTAAGGGAAGATAAAGTGTGTATACACCTACACCAATGTGATCGATCATGAGTATATATCACCCAAAGTCTCCGACCACTGATTACAATAGTCGTTCGGATCTCAACCCAGTAGTCTGTATCTACTAACATGGCTTAGACCAGAAGTTAATGACTATATAGATTGAGGCCTTGTTTTGGTTTGGCCACCCTTAACTAGATATGTGAAGTAGTGAAACTTCATCAGTTGAGATGGCTGGGACACGTGTTACGTATGCCCAACCACCGACTGCCTCGACGTGCGATGTTCAGTGGTATAGGAGTAGGTTGGAAGAAAGCTAGGGGCGGCCAGACCAAAACATGGCACAAGTCCATGAAGTCACTGACAAGTGGACTGAGTCATGTCGGTAGGTGTAGACTATCTGGTTGGGGACCGCGAGATGATCGCAACCGATGGTTAGAGACTTTGAATGACATGGCTCAAAATCGTTTGCAATGGCGCAGGTGCATCCACTCTTTGTGTTCTCCCAAAATTTGATCTCCTTATTACTCCTTGTCTCTTTTTACTCTTTCCAAGTTTATTTCACTGCATTATACTCTTTAAGTAAAATCTCCAAACACTAATCTTTCCGATTACTGCTTATACTCTTATTACCTCTACCACTACGGGATTTGAATCGATCACTGCATCTCTGTGCTAATGTGGTGTGGTAACTCGAACTGATGTACGTACGTACGAAGTTCTATGTTGTTACTGACTGACTGACTGAGATATGTGAAAGTACTACAAAAAACTTCACAAACGCATAAGATGTTGTTCATAACTGTAGAATTTATGTATTAAATAGAATAAGATTATGTTTAGTCTTGAAAGTGTATCAAAAAGTTTATAATAAACTTGGAATAATTTTTAGATTCTATGAGCCTTACGTTTGGAATAACTAATCACTGAACAAATATTTGTTAAATTTAAAACAGGCATTTTTTTAACGTTTTTTGGGGCAATTTATAACATTAATTCCCTTGGTATTGTTTTACTTGAATCTTCCCATTGATGTTTAGGACTTCAATTGATCAGTCTGTTATTAACATATGTGCATACTGTACGTATTGCCTTAATTTACAAGCATCGTAAGCAAGGTTACTATCAGGACTTAGTAGCTAAGTGGATAACGCAATGGCATCTGAAGCGAATGGTACTAGATTCGAGTCTCAGAGTGAACATCAATTCTGACATGCGGGTACATCCAACTGACGAGTCCCGAATAGGACGAAATGTGCGTCCAACTGGATTCCAGTGCTAACCACTATCCATCTTTGCTTATAATTTATAATATTGTTATAATTCACTCTTATCACAAACCAGCTATTCTTATTGCTTAGTATTCTCGGGCACCAACTCACTCGACAAGTCCTCATATCTGAATATGGTTGGAAAGGAAAGAGATTATATTCCAAATAACAAGGTTAGATGGAAGTAAGAAGCACAATAGGAAAAGCGTTAGTATATTTAAGTTTTTTACATCAGAATGTTCTAGAGTATTTTCCAAGTATCGACTAGCGCTGATTGGGTAAGAATTAGCGAATCAGCATGCACCAACGCAATCGTGCATTGAGCATGTTTTAATGCAATCTGTGGCTCACTAACAAACATAAATGTAATTATTTAGTAATATTGACTATTTATATGGAAGATAATTAAGAAATAATATCAGAAAGGGTTTTGTGGAGATCGTAGTAACTTTAATAGTTGAGATCATGAGTCAATTGAAGCTAGATCACCATGGAAAACCTGGAACCACTGAACGGCCCTTTCGTCCTATTGTGAGGCTCTTCAGCAGTACTTCTAATATAATTAAATTCTTCAGAGTGTTAGATTTGTTCAAAATGTTTTGATGGGATTCGTTGTGCTTGAATCTGTTCTTGTTTTTCAAATATCACGTTAATGATAATATTAACTAAATTTTGATCAGTCTTAATTGATATATCTTTATCTTGTAAAGATTAACTCAATTTGAGCTTTTTTTGACTAAATGATAGATGTAACTAATGTTGAACACAGATACACGATATTTGTAACGATAAAAATATAACTAATTAATAATATATTTATGAATAATAATTCATTTCTCTAAGCAAAGATGGATAGTGACAAGCAGTGGAATCCAGTTTGATGCGTGTTTCGTCCTCGAACCCAGTACCGTTCGCTTCGAACAACATCAACTTAGCTACTGTGTCCTGGTAGCCATATGCACGTATGTCAACAAGAGACTGATCAAATGCATTTCTAAACAACAATGAGAAGATACAAGTAAACAATACCAAGTGAGTTTAAAATTTCACCCCATTGAGCAGGAAAGTGGCTCAGTACTGTGTTCGAATCTCACAGTGAACACCAACTCTGCGATGCAGGTATATCCAACTGACGAGTCCCAAATAGGACGAAACGTACGTCAAACATCATCCCAATGCTAGAAACTATTCATTTTTGCTTATAAAGCTTATGACTTAAGGCTATATCGAGGCGATCCACACAGCATGTACATATACCAACATGAGACTGATCAATTACAGTTCTAAATAATAATGAGGAAATACAAGTAATACAACATCAAATGAATTTCAATAATTCATTTCATTTTCACAGATTGAAATCATGAGTCAATTGAAGCTAGACCACCATGGAAAACCTGGAAGCACTGGACGGCCGTTTCGTCCTGGTATGGGACTCCTCAGCAGTGCGCATCCACGACCCTGAACCTCGTGGGACTCGAACCCAGCACCTACTGGCTTCGCACACGAGCACTTAACCACTAGACCACTGAGCCGGCATCCAACGCTCTTAATGTCTAACTTGAACCAATCCACGAAGTTGCGCCACCGTACACCATTGTCTTCAGTGAGTTGTTATCTCACAACAGACCTGGTTGAACTCCACTGGTAACGGCTTCTCACTAGAACTCCAGGAGTTTTTCTTCAAGTCAGTCACTAGTGAGCAGTTGATTATTATCAGAATGGGTTTTGTGGAGATTTTAGAAATTTCACAGATTGAAATCATGAGTCAATCACTTACTCTAGGCAAATTTTCTGCAGCATTTGTTATTGCTTGAAAACAATGTAATAGACAATCTCGTATTTCACGAAAACTTGGTATAAATATAATTTTTGGATCAGATATATGTAATTTTAATAAAATTGGTGATCTATGCAAATATTTCAATTCATCATATTGTTCATCAAATTTATTTCCATTCTATAATATAATTAATGAAAAACAAATAGAGTTACATTCATAGAAGCGTAAATCAATCTGGATTTGATCTATAATGACACTGTTATACACCAATATCCAAATGACTATTACAAATATGAACTTATAATTATAGAGCTTTATGATGATAATATTTACATTAAATTAATTAATGAATATAAACTAAGATCTATTTGACAGTTATTACATCATAGATATAAATGTATCAACAATCTTACATTGAGTATTATATTCTATGTTCATAAATCAGTAATATGATAATGGGTATTTTTGAGCTTAAACTAAGTTGTGATATATCATACAATACATTTTATCGTGGTCTTTTGTTATATCTGATATGGATAACTAATCTAAAGTAGTAAAAGTTTAATCAATGGTAATCAGAAGTGACCCAAAGACCAAGTTCATTTTATTGGCTAAGAAATGGGTCAATTTCCTAAGGATAGAGTGGTATATATATGAATAAGTATTTGTGCATTCCATTCAGTAATCCAATACAATTTCTCTTTCATTCTTGTATTTTTGCTCAAGTAGTCAGTTGGGTGGAGGATTATTGCGTAGCATACCGTTTATCAGTACCAGATTTCGGATGTCGCACGTCACAACTGTATTACAAAAATCTAACAATAAAATAAAATATTTAGATAGGTTACATCATGACTTAGAGGATCTACAAATAGATGATTAACATTTGTGGTACTTTACAGAATAGATGGGTTGTGGGTAATAGTGGAATCTATAACATATATTTCGTTCTATTCATCCTATCTACTAATAAAAAGGATATGAGTTATCCCGCTGTAGATAATCATGACTGAATTTTTTATCAGTCTTCGTTGGTATATATATATGTATTTGTAGGGAATGAGAACTCACTCATATGAGGGCAACCAATTTATTTTCAATGGAAAATCATAGAGCTCTTTCGTAAAATATAAAAAACATACAATAAATATTTCATTTGCAAATCCTTCATCAATTGTCTCAAACCTCATTATTCCTTCATTACTATAACAAAGACTCTTTGTTTACATTTCCGTTCTCCTTAATTTGATCTTCTCAACCTTTTGTTACCAGGCATTCCACTTCTGATTTGTGTTACATACTACTTATGTCAAAAGACATAAGTAGCATACACTACACATCATTTTTTTATTTAGTAACCTCAGAAACAGTATGAGATTTCATATTTTTATAAAATTCCCTAGTTGGTATCATTCAGTATGATTGATAATTAATACAATTAATATGACTAATGAATTTCTCTACATCTATCACCTCAGTTCAACAAATGACATTGATTTATATTCTTCCTTTGATTGATTGATCAATTAGATTCCTATTATTTTCTATTGGTTTGAATGGCATGTTTCGATAGACAACTTTTTTTTTCATTAAAAGAACTCATAAATTCACAAATTCCTTATCTTTCTATTGCTTTCAGTATGCAACAGTCATCATTTATCAGCTGGATTAATAATCGGCGAAGTTCATGGTTATTCACTAAGGCAACCCGTTGTATTTCTATTTCTTTAAGTTCTTGAAGTTGCCTAAAATACAGTAATTGTCATGGTACAGATGTTTTGTTTTTTTAAAAAAAATAATGATTTAATTATATGATCAATGCTATAAGCAACGTTTCTTAGAACAATCATATGGATTGATGAAAAGGGACTAATAATATACATTTTGTATTCAGGTGATTAGTAATTATGTTTAAGTAAGCGTTTATTTAGTTATAAGCAACATACGATTTAACATAAGTGTACATCAATTCAAACTGTTACATTTGACATTAGGATAACGACTGTAAGTAACTAGAAATGATAAACAGATAAGTGTACTTAGTCATATTATTATTAATATTTGTGAAACAAATGTGAAACACTAGAATAGTGTAAGTAATAAGTTCTTAACAACTTTAAATAAGAACTTACTTTATGAATTTGTAACACTTTTAGTAAATCTTGTAAAGATATATTTACAATATCACGTAATTGTCGAGACATTAAAGCTGATATACATGTGAAAAATAAACGAACTAATTCCATTGAATCAGATGAACTAATTGGCATTAAATGAGACCATGTATTACTTAATTCAGTAATAATCTTTGCACATGTTGGTATCCAACTAAAATGAAAAGTTTGAAATTTATATAGTTAGTTCTTAGTTTACTAGTTTACATAATTAGTAAGTAAAAATAAATCAGTTCATACTATTTACTATTTAAGATGTGTTCACATTAATTAGTACATTTGGTATTAAACAATAATAAGTTATGGATTGAAATGATGAATCAATCAATGTTAGACCACTATTGAAAACCTGGAAAATGGTTACGCAGTTTCGCGGATTGATTGAAGTTAGACATTAATACCGTCTGGTGTCAGCTCAGTGGTCTAAAGGTTAGGCGTTCACACACGAAATCCAAAGTCCTTGGTTTGAATCCCTCGTGCAGGATCGTGGATACGCATTGTTGAAGAGTTTCATACTTGGACGAAATGGCTATCCAGTGCTTCCAGGTTTTCGATGGTGATATAACATCGATTGATTTATGACCTCAATCAAAAGCCTATTAATCTACACAAACCTATACTGATAATAATACGTTAATTTAGTTCATCGTTTTAATCGAATATTATTGGAAAACTAATCGCTCTAAATGATTGAGTATCGAATTGCGTTCTGTTTGATATAACATGTTTAATGATGGTTAGAATCACTACATATACGATTTGTATTAAACGATCACAAAATAAAATATAATCATAAGTACATTCAAATCAGTTTTAACTGATTAAACACCTGAATTATCATCATCAATTTGTCTAATAATAAGTTTATATCAATGGATATAATAGCTTACTGCTTTAATTTCAAGTCATGGCCTTAACCTCCATCACTTCTCATATTTGTTGTTAGTAGCATGATATACTACTCAATCAGAAAGCTAATATGCTTTTCAGTAATACTGTGGTGTGTGCCAATTATATTGATATAAGTAGTATATGATGTTAGTCATGAACAGAATGTCTGGCAGCAGAGGACAAGAGAATCGACCAGTAAAGAATGGGAACAGAATGCACTTTGTATAAAAATGCAAGAACAATGAATTCTGAGTCATTATGAGACAACTGATGGAGATTTTGCAAATTAAGCATTTACTTTATGATTGTTAGATTTTATTAACAAGTCCTGTAATTTGGTGTTAAATACGTCCGATTGTTCCCCACTGGTGTCCATGTTCACTACAATACCATTATAAACTCAACTTAGGTTAACTATAAATAATCTAAAACATTTAAAATGATTATTATGAACATTCCATATTTCAAGAACCATAATTCCCTTGTTTCATGAAGTTCATTGACATTTATATTTACTACGTAAACAACAATAAATACTCTTTGAATGAACTAAATGTTAAATGAGAAACTTGTATTGAAATATACAAAGTATTAATGGTTGTGCTATGACCTTGAATCCCATTTTACCCCGTCGATACTTTGTTATGACTTGACCTTGATCTGTCTAGTCTAGATTATGACTTTGGCGTAATAGGCTGAGCGGTTTAACCTTGAGTCTAGCACGCGTGAGTTCGAGATGAAGTAGAGGGATAACTATTCTAGAACCTGATTGGTTGGCAAGCACGCAAGTGAGAGAAGACAAGACAGTTGGAACACTGAACTCTGGATTCACTGAATTCGGATTAGTGCAAAAATGTACATGAATAAATAAGTGAATATCTTGACCACAACGTACGGTAATTTGGAAAAATACAATTATGCCCGAAACTAGGAATTAGGGTATGGTAGTGAATGATACATAGAACGAAAGCTCATATTTTGATAGCAACCAAATGTAGTTAAACAATTTATAATTTTCAATATAACTATTAAGATGATCATTAAAAAGCTAAATACTCTATTTTTTCTAAACATCAGACTTTCAACTACTCATAATAGATTAGATAAAAGAATTCAATTTTAATAGTATTAGTTCAATGAATTCTATAAATTTTTGTACTAATATTCAGTTATGTTATCATATTTACTCAATCTGAAGTCAAATGTATGAGTTATTAAAGGCTATGTGTAATAGTCAAATTTTTGAATATTTACATCTTTATCAATTTCGGGATCGTGGATGCACACTACTGAGGAGTCCGATCATTGGACGAAAAAACCATCCAGTGCTTCCAGGTTTTCCATGGTGGTGTAGCCTCAATTGACTCATGATATCAATCTGACATCTTAATTATTTTGAGATCTATGTATATTGTCAATAAATATTTAATTAATGGGATAGTATGAAATAGACTTCTTCATTATTACTAATTGGAACTGCTGTACTTTAAAAGGAAAGAATGTAGGAAATAATGTATTATTGATCAAAGTTATCTAATTTATTTACATTGAAAAATTAATTATCAGAATGGGGATTTATGGAGACTATAGTAATTGTAATCGTTGAAAACCTGGAAGTTAGTGACAGTTGTTCCGTTCTAGTATGTGACTACTCAGCAGTGCTCATCCATGATCCGGCACGCTAGAATCGAGTTCAAGGGTTCGTATGCAACACTGAAGGTTTTCGGTTCGAATCCCACGTACAGAAAAAATAATTAGTTTCATGGAACGATTACATATAATTTGGTTATTTCATTTGAAGTAGTTTGATTTCACAAACTGTATTATTAGAGCTCAAATACTTTGTAACTTTTTTTGTATAGTTAAATATTTGTTTTTGAACATTCTTATTCACTATATATGATGTATTCTTTACTTGTTGTCTTAGTCAGAGATGCATTTTCTCTAATGACTCATTATCCAGTTTGTATGTCCAACTCTTATCCTACCTTCAAAAAAGATATAATAGATAAATGTTTACAGAAATTGTTGGGTCGGCCTCCAGAGAACTTCAACGGAGCCTCCAGAAGCCCAAAAAGGAGCCGAATGGTCCTAGCCAATCAGAGTATGATGGAACGTTCGAGAATTCCAGCGTGGCGTGATACTATTGGTCGGTAGCATAATATGTCGTTAACGGATTGGCTGAAATATGATGTTGATTTAACAGACACCAACATCTATAAATACCCTTGATTTTCTGTACAAAAATGAACCTTGAGATAAAGTATTTTTTCTCATACTTGTGTCTTCTCTATGGTGTTCAAGTTGCTGTGTAGTTCTAGACTGCGGATTACCGGAATAGCTTAGGAACAAGTATAGCGTTCAATTGACAAGACTTATCAGAAATATTACTTCACTTATGTTTAATCGTTTTTAGTTATTCCAAAATAATTCTCTTTCGAATAGTTTATACTTTTGATAAAAAAAATGGTTGGGTTTAAGAAAATGATGCTGAAAATTTTCAAATATTTAGTTTGAAATGAATTGAATCTGAACGATTTAATTAACACGTATCACATACCATTCATTACTATCTATATATGAATTGATAGTTAACTAAACAATTGTTTACTAATTAATTATTAAGCTGTAAATATATGCTATAACTGTGACGGCAGATTAGAGGGTAGCGAATTATCGGTCGGACAAAAGACGCGCAAACACGTAGAACGATCTAGGGTTCTGATTGGTCTCGTTTCCCTGTCTAGCCCACCCAGTTGAGTCCAGAACACAAGTCTCAGCCTCGGATATATGAATCATTATATTTCAAACATACTTTGTTTATATACCAGTCAATCAGACCACAACGTACCATAAAATAGAAAATAACATTGTACAATATTGACCAGTAGAAAAATAACACGTGAAATAAGTACTGACCAATAAGAAAATCATACCATATCCAAGTCCAAGAATAGCATTAGACTTAATAGAATAATTTCTGGGATATTTTCCTGAATATCCCAACAATATATCAATTAAAATGTCAGTCAGACAATCATCAACAATGTAGAACTTCATACGTATGTAAATCAGTTCGAGTTGACATACGACATTAGCACACAGATACAATCGTTAATTCAAATTCCGTAGTGGTAAATATGCATTTTTTTTTCTTTTTATAAATCTTTAAAAGAAAAGATAATGAACAAAACTATAAAAAAAACACAACAACGACATACTTTTTACGTAATATTTCTCTTGTTTTTTGACATTGTTGAATAATAAGTTTTTCGAATTCTATCGGTTCCAAAGGTTCTGAAAGATTTACTAATTCATCATAGTTTATAAAACGTAAATGAGAAAATCTATAAATTGAAGGAAGGTAAGAATTTACTAAGAGGACTTTTTATGATGATAATAATAATAATAATAATAATAATAATAATAATAATAATAATAATAATAATAATAATGTTATGAACGGGGAAATAAGAAGCCCAGATAATCACGAAAGCTATTTTCTTGGGACGTTATTGCATTTCATTCAAACCCTGTAAAACACTTATATTTATTTTTGTCCCTATCTTATTCTACATAACATGAGCTTTCGTTCTATGTATCATTCACTACCATACCCCTTTTCGTTCCGAAAATATTGTAATTTAAACATAATATTTTGCACCGTATTTTCTACCCGAATTCCTAGTTTTGGGCATAATTGTATTTTTCCAAATTATCGAACGTTGTGGTCAGGATATTCACTTATCTACTCATGTACATTTTTGCACTAATCCGAATTCAGAGTGTTCCAACTGTCTTGTCTTCTCTCACTTGCGTGCTTGCCAACCAATCAGGTTCTAGAATAGTTCTCTCTACCCCATTTCGAACTCACGCGTGATAGACTCAAGGTTAAGCCGCTCACTCTATCGCGTCAAGGTCATAGTTAAATCTAGACAGATCAAGGTGAAGTCATAACAAGTATGAACGGGGTAAAAGTGATTCAAGGTCATAACAAATAATAATAATGAAAATGTCTTTATTACTACCGTCCATAATTGTAAGAAAATGTGCTCTGTCTTCATGTCCTGATATTTTATATCGATTTGAAGAAATGAGCGACCAATTATAACGAACTCAAAACTTGCTATTTGATTGGACGACACAGAATGGAAGTTATTGGAAGATGGGGATGAAAATTTTTTTCAAAAGGGACGAAAAAAAATTGCACTCGAAAAAAAAATACAAAAATGGCCGTGCACTAAATGTTTTCCTTTATTCTTTATATATATATGGTTAATTTCCAACTACTTATTCTGTTTTTGATCTTAGTTAAAGTTCGCATTATTATGATTTTGTTTACTTTATCTAACATTTGATAACAGTCTTCTTTCGATTTCTTTCTCTATGACGATATAAAATGCATGGCAATTGCCTCGGCAATGCAAAGAAGATGCAGTCTAATTGTCTTTGGAAGGCTTCTACTTACCTTGTAGATGACTTTGAACGCAGAGTCTGTCTTGATTGAGTGACCTGTGTTCACAAGGTGTTCGATTATGGAACTTCTTATTGAGCCGTTGCCTCCTCTTCTTAGCCACGCCGGACAATGTTCTTGAATTCTTTTGGATAAAGTACGCATCGAACGACCTATATACCTAGCTCCACAAGAGCAGGTAAATTGGTAAATGCACATTATCGCATCTGACCAACTCAATGTACATTTACCAATTTACCTGCTCTTGTGGAGCTAGGTATATAGGTCATTCGATGTGTACTTTATCCAAAAGATATAAAATGTGACAAGTTTTTTTAAATAATGCACATTCATATTCAAATGTACGTTGTTTATAATTGACTTGTTATCAAGGATGTATTACACAGTGGTTATTTTTTTGCATACTAATAATCAATGATTTACGGAAACAAACTTTTTGAAATACTGTAATGAAATACAAGAAATGTTGTAGTTGTTCAGTTCTATCATTAGCCATAGCTATGTATACGCATATTCCAATGAAAAAATCTAATCAAAATATCGTTGGGTATCGCCTCAGTGGTCTAGTGGTTGAGTTTGCACGCAAGACCAAAGGTTCTGCGTTCGAGTCCATCGTGCTTCCAGGTTTTCAATCGTGGTTTAGCTTAGTTCGACTGATAAATTTAACTATTCAAATCAAATAGTGTAGAAATTCCAGTTTATTGGTACACTTTAACATATCACCAACGAAAATTTATGTTCTTCCAAAACAACTGTTCCCTTGATAGAATAAAGTATGTGATACTAATAGAATGCGAGATTTGTAATGACTTCTTACGTTGTTTCTTAACTTTATTTTATAAAATCTTGAAATGGAGTGAGTTTATTGCAGTTTTATTTCGCTCGTTATTATATATTCTTTTTCCAATATTTCAGTATCAATGAAAATTAAAATGATAGCAACAATGGTCATTTATAATAATTCTTATTAAATTTATTCATATGTTGGACAAGAGTTTTGTAGCTTAGTTTGTACTGATGATGTCGTTCAGATAAACACTGAAAGCTCCACGACCAAACCATCCAGCTCAGAGAACAAAACTCCATCAACATATTCATATGCAAATTGAAGTATATATCACAACAACCTAGTAAGTCCTTATTTTAAACCCCTATAGGGCCTCAGATGAACATCGCTTGCGAATCTGATAAACGCAAAAAAATCTACAATGCACTTCCTGGTTTTTGTGGTTGTTTAACTAAGGTCAGAAATCTCTATACTGAGAATCTTCTTAATATTGCTTAAGCAAAATAAATGTATATATAAAGATTGTTAGTAGGATAAATTTACTGATAAGTCTGAAGGATGGTTAAATGACACTAAATACATTTTTATATGAGACGTTAATATTGTCTATCAAGATTTACTATCTGTTCGTGTTAAGTATGAAAATAACAGTTACGGCAGCATACAAAACTCCGCCTGTAACTCTTCTAGAGTTACTACCGGTCCCAAGGCCGAGTAAAGGAGGAGGGTTGGGTATGGGGTCGGCAACCCTATCTCATAGAAAGTAAGTAAGTAAACATACATTGTTTTGTTTCTCACATCTAAAAATTAGATAATAATCACTCAGCACATTATACAGAGAAAGTTTGAAAAATACTTTCATTTAAGCATAATAAAAACTACCTACAGAATACCTGTAGAATATTTAATTCTTTATTAATTTATTTTATAAAGAATATTATGAAAATTTACTGAGAAACTGTGATTATCGAAGAAGTTTTGGTGAAATGAAGCATTTTCGAATGAATGTACATGCAAATCGCTCGATTCTAACTTGGAGCATAAAAATTTAAGCGATTTCAGTATGACTTAAGTGTTCTTGGTTCAGTCTTTTATGGTTTGTTAGGTAAGTGATAGTTACAAGTTCCACATATAGATAAAGTAACTGTTCCAGTATATTCAATATGCTTTAAATCCTAAGTTTAACTGAATCTTAATGTATTAACATAAATAAACGAATGAGGATATAGAACAAATGGATAGATAACTTTTGTTTCAATTAAATGCCTTCAACATACTCTGTGCACCAAATTTTTTGTAGTGCTAATGGTATTGGGCCAATTGTGAATAAATACTGTTTACAGAATTCATATGCTTTTTTACGTGTTGTATGCCATGGAACAGGAGCTCGAATAACGAAGTTCGGATATGGAATAGGCAACGATTCAATAAACAATCTTTTTCTTTCCTCTGGATCTAGTAGAATGTAGTCGACTAAAGAATAAAAAATAAACAACACATCGTAGTAAATGAGTTATGTTCAAAACACTAACATACTTTATGTTATTTCGTCAACATCTAATTATAAGAAGCCTTTGAAGAAGATTTAGTTCCAGTTGGCCATAATGACCATGGAGTATTTACAAGCTGAAAAGAGTAAATGCTTCCTGTTGGTTTTGAACTGAATATCATAGACGTAAACATTATTGCTGTATTATTTATGCTACAACTGACCTAGTCTATGATTGAGAAGCGCCTATATGAATTAAACAAATAGTTTTAATCAACTTCATGCTGTCTAGCACTCATAAGTAATCACGTTTGCCTGCAAGAATTTATAGAACTAATTTATTGCACTGCCGCGTTAGATAATAATACATCCTTTTGAAGTCGTTGTATTTCCTGAGCTATATAGTTTAATTAAGATTTCATTGTCGTTATGGTCAGTATCATCTGCTCTTACCTTATGAAAAAGTGGATTTCTTAGTTACTTGACGAGCTTGAATCAGTTGGTTCATTTGACGTTGTTCACGATTGGTTGATGTTGCAGGTTTCACTTGTGTTCAAGTTGACTGTTTCGTTCTGTTGACCTATAAAGATGTTGTTAATTGACCCTTTTTGGATGGTATAAAGGGTAGAATCCGGTTCTATGTGTCTATTGACTGCCGGATGACCTAAATGAGATTATTCTAGAAATTCACTTGTACTCTTAGAATTTCTTTGCTTCATAATTTTGACATTCCATCATAAACCACAGCTAGTATTTCAATAAGCTTTAAAATAAATGCCGCTCATTATTAATTTCATACGGACCGCAAGATATAACAACAGTAGACCACAAATAAAACATAATCTACAAATTAAGTTGCACTAGCTGTCATAAACAATACACTGAAAAAGTAAGCGACCTCCTTATACACAAGCTATTAATACAAGATATTAATACATACAGACAACTTTGAATATAGATTCGATTGGAGAATGTCAAAATTCTGAATCAAAGAACAACATCTTTATAGGTCAACAGAACGAAACAGTCAACTTGAACACAAGTGAAACCTGTAACATCAACCAATCGTGAATAACGTCAAAAGAACCAACTGATTCAAGCTCGTCAAGTAACTAAGAAATCCACTTCTATATAAGGTAAGAGCAGATGATACTGACCATAACGACAATGAAATCCTCTTAATCAAACTATTTAGTTCAGAAAATCTGAAAGCATCAAAATGATCCAACCAACTTTCAAATTCATTCCATCACTTCCGTATTATAACATATAGCTTAGTTTAAACTAAATGAATTTCCTCTGATACAATTTAACTAAAATCACCTATATTTATAAGAATTTTAATTTTCTTCAAAATTATCGCTATTATAATGTCCAAAATAACCGAATAATATCGCGCTTCAAAAAAGACAAGAAGATTATGAAGTGAGTTGAAAAATTACTTAACTAAGACAAAACAGCTAACCGACACTTTCCTGTTCTAAATGTTTTCTTGAATTTATGTATGTTTTTGATACAAAATAGGGTCTGACTATAATCTATGGACGACATTTGAGCAAAGCCTTTATGATTTTGAGAGTATCCACCTAATAACTAGGACCACATGAAGGTGTGAAGCATTAGAATGATGATTTACGGTTGATGATTAAAGTTAGGAATTAGATTTCGGGTTTTCACCATGAACTGAAATCAGTTATAATGCCAAAACTCTATTTAACCAAATGACTGAATGAATTTCACGCCAATATCCGAGACCTGTTATCTTATACCTAATTGGTTCGTCTATAAATTATAGTCTCGTCAAGTATTTTTTTTTCTTTAGTAAAATTCAGTATTTATAATACTAGTGTTACTTACCGATAGATTTTTTTACAGCATATACATAATCATCATGTATTTCTTGTTGTAAATCAACTAACTGAGTTGGCCATGTCAATGTTAAACTCTGTGGTAGGTATTTTTGTAAACTTTCCCATAGTTTATTTGGTAATGGAGCAAGCATAAAATCTGGTATACCTTTATTTATATAGTAAGTATATCTCTATGTTACAAAATATAAATACAAAAAAAAATTTGATTAGCACTAAGTAAGTCAGTAATATAAAATAATAAGTGAATCTTGACTACTCAAAATAATATATTATTTGAAACTAAAGTTATTTATATGTTAACTTAAAAGATGTTCTTGTGAATACTTTGTATAATTTGAATGTGGTTTTCACGTAGCATTGGCTGAGGAGTCCTAAATTAGGACAAAACGTTTATTTAGTGTGTAGCGTGGAGTCGAGTCGCAATCGACTATGATCACCACTACAGGAAGGTTGAGTACCAAATATCAGAAGGTAATTGAAGTTTGTAGCGAAGTATATTTGTTGGTGATCTCGTGGTATCGAAAGAATACCAAGATCGTACCAAAGGAGTATAAGCGGATTTTATGAGCAAGTTCGTGCAAGGTCACAATCAGCGGAAGAAAGAATGGAAAAATAATGGATGTCTTTAGTTCAGTTAAACAAACAAGTACAGTAAAACAGTCACCGGTACAATAGGTTATAATAATAATTGTTTCCATCAGTAATACTCATAAAATTATCATGTTACTTCTATATCTCTTTCTGATGGCTTCTGACGGTTAGTATTTCTTTCTTTCTCCAAGGTTTTCATTTGATCGATCTGCTCCTCTGGGGACATAACTCTAAAACGTTTCCTAAGAAATGAAAAGGTTAGGTAGTATTATATTATAAACGTAAGAAAAATAAGTTCAAGATCTAATATAAGGTAGAAATTAACATAATTATATAATCTAAGCTGGTCAAAAGTGAAAATATATCATTACAGTGTCGTAAAAATTTAAATGATGCTAATAAGATTGAAAGACATGTTTCAGTCCAATACAAAGTGCAAGGAAAAATTCTAAAAAATCCGAGCAGTAACTGCAGATTACAGATACAATTATTCACTTGTCAAAGATCAAATTAGAATTCTCAACTAAGATGAAGTGAAAAATAGTTTAAAGAGTTTCAAGTCAAATAGTATGGATCCCTTAAACATTTCACTAATTTTAAGATATTCATCAGCAGTGATTAATCACCGGTCGAATTTTCCATGTCCATTCGACATTTGTTAATCTTTGCGAACAAATAAGTACATGAATGGATCCTATGGAATGGATCACTTTGCATTAATATACTATCGGAAATATGGTTGTCACAATCAAACACCTAAATACTAATCTATGTACTTTAGAATAGCTATTGAACATGTGAAGAAATCTTTTGGATGACATTTGCTAGGTGATAGCTAAAGCTGAAACCGTTCTAAGTTTTTTTTCACGTTAAATCATATCTATTTTTTTACAAGTGACGGTGGGGGAAAGTAAACCAAATAAAGTCTGTAAGTACCTGAACATACCATCAATCATTGGCTGTACATGTTAGTTTTTTGTCTTCAGAATTCTCAACATATCAAACACTAGAGTTTTCTCGAAACAAACGAGTTCAATCGATATATTTGTTTAAATCTTAAGAACAATGTCCGGGAACTTTCGACTACCTGTTTCTTCGTTTCACGCTCAAAATCATTCTGTTCCTGTTAGCCCCGACCGTTGTTGCTACCTTGACGTGGTGGTCGGGCTTACCTATGGTGATGAAGCAACCGAGCTATGCTGGCTGGAACAACCGTCCCTCAATTTACTTACGTATGCCTGTTTCTCCTCGTGAAGGACCATAGACCGCTCACCAGCGTTCCCTATCCAACCCTGTCCTGTGTGATCCTTTCCAGTTGTTATTCATCCTTTCCATATCTACTTCTATTTCCCGAAGGCAGAGTTAAAATGGTTTGAATTATTTTTTTCTGGTAAGCGTTTTTTAGCGAGTTAGTTTTCTACGGGATGGGGACGCTAACCCCATGCCCAACCTTCCTTCTTTACCGGGGCTTGGGACCGACAGTAACTCTGGAAGAGCTACAGGAGGAGTTAACCGTTCCTCAAAGTCCTACCACGTCAGATAGGTCGGTTGAAGAGCGGTAGGACTAAAATCGACAAACCTAAGGTTCGAAGGCGAAGTCGTACTGCTGACTGTACAGAGATATGGCAGCAGTAAGGTATTTTCTTCAGGCAACCAGCATAGCAGCGATGCTGCCTTCCCACAAGGAGGGGTGGGGTTAGAAAAGGTCGACACTGAAAATGCACACCTGCCCTTATCCCACAGATATCCATCTTCGGTGGTAAGGTTCCAATAATTACGAGGTCAACACAAAATTTACTCTTAAAATGGTCGTGTGTGGCCGACCTCAAGCAGTTTTCCCTTGGGAACTGCGGTCACGCTCTCAGGTCACTAAGACCACCTCTAATCTCATTTCGTTCTCAGGTACCTCCAGAAGAACCCTTCCACTGTGTGGGCAACCGGGAAGTGATAACCGCCCTCACACCTCTAACAGCACTCAAAACCACTGTATTCATAATCAACCTCTCTCTTCAATTCCTATTATTCCTCCTGCATCGACTTTCATCTTTGAACTTCCTCTTTCGGCTTCCTCCTCAAATTTCACCACAGCCAACGATTCTAGTGAGCAAAACATTGTCCCAGGTCTGCTGGAACCTCGCTCCAAACTACACATTGGAGCCTTCAACGTACGCACCTTATGTCAAATCGGTCAACAGGCTTCCCTAACTAGAACCTTAGAAACTCGTACCATTGATGTATGCTGTGTCTCTGAAACACACATACAGGATCCCAGTGTGGTCATTCACTTGGCCTCATCTCGGCAAAACGGAGAGCCGATGAGATACACCTTACGTGTAGCTGGTGGCCCTATAGCTAGCTCTCGTGGACTGGCAAGTGTGGGCATAGCACTAAGCATGAGGGCGGAACAAGAACCGTCAGAGTGGATCCCCGTCAATAGTCGTTTATGTACTGTTCGGCTAAACGGCTCCATAAAATCTCGGAAGGATAGGGACACACGTCGTTGCCTTTTTGTCGTTCATGCCTACGCTCCCACCGACTGCAGCTCAGATGAAGTGAAAGATGAATTTTACAGAAAGCTATCTGAACTTCTTCAGAAAGCTAAACGTTCAGACACAGTACTCGTAGCAAATGGCTTTAATGCCCATATAGGTAGTTTAAACCAAACAGAAAGGCATTTAGGTGGGTATTTTAGTATCCCGGCACAACGAACAGATAGTGGTGATCGTCTGCTGCAACTGTGCTCAGACAATCGTTTATTTTTAGCAAACGCAAATTTTAAGCATAAGGAGAGACATCGTCTAACATGGCGACCTCCTACACCAAACCAACGATGGACTCAAATAGACCATATTGCCATCAGTCATCGTTGGAGAGAGTCGGTAGAAGATTGCCTCTTATTCTGGTGTACCTGCTTGGACTTCGACCATGCCCTAATACGGGGACGCATCTGCTTGCACCTCACTGGGCACAGGAAAGCCACAGTAAAAAGACCCATTAGAACTGAATTGAGTAGCGAGAAAACCAAAAGTAGGTTGCAGAAACAACTGAAGTCACACTTAGGTAGTTCTGAAAATGAGGTTGACCCAGATGTTGCTTGGAAAGATATACAAACAGCTGTGGAAACAGCAGTGACATCTATCAGTGATTTAAACTACAGGGTTACGAAGAACCAATGGATTTCCTCAAAGTCTATTGCACTGATGGATTCTCGCAAACTCATCCCATCAGGCTTTGAACACGATGAAGAGCGACAACAAATCAGATCTAGGTTAAGAAAAAGTCTAAGAAACGACCGTGAGCAATGGTGGGCAACGAAAGCAAAAGCGATGGAAAAGGCGGCGGCTATAGGGAACACAAGACAGCTCTACAGACTAATAAAAGAAACTTGAACTAACAAGTCAAGTGTAAGTCAGACTATTTCGGAAAAAGACGACACTCTCATCTGCTCCCAGTTCACACGTTTAGAACGATGGGCGGAACATTTCAGAGAACAGTTCAGCTGGCCTTCAGCTACCCTACAACTATCCTCCATTGCCAGACAGTGTGAATGGAACATTGAAGTAGGTCCCCCAACTCTTGCTGAAGTTCAAAACGCTATAGTTAATCTGAAACGAGGAAGGTCAACTGGTCCAGATAGATTGGCTCCAGAGGTCTTTAAGGATGGTGGTCCAATTTTATCGATTAGGTTGAAAAACATTTTAGCTAAGATCTGGGAGTTAGACGTTATACCATCTGACTGGTCACAATCACTTATCGTCCCAATATATAAGAGAGGGTTAAAATCATCCTGTGACAACCACAGAGGGATTAGTTTAACTAATATAGTATCTAAAATACTAGCCTCGATAATAATCAGACGCTTTACTAAGACTCGTGAACTGCAAACATGAGAAAACCAAGCTGGCTTCAGACCTGCTCGTGGCTGCATCGACCACATATTTACCATTCGTCAGGTTCTAGAACATAGGCACACTTAACGGCGTCCGACAATGGTAGTCTTTCTTGACTTAATAACAGCATTTGACTCGGTAGACCGCGAGATTCTGTGGCAGTGTCTGTCATTGAAAGGCGTACCTCAGAATTGCATAAACCTTGTGAGGGCTCTTTACTCGAACACTACCAGTCGAGTCAGAGCTTATTGCGAACTGTCATTTAGTTTTGCAACCTCAAGTGGTGTCCGTCAAGGCTGTCCAATTTCTCCATTTTTGTTCAACTTCATCATAGACTTACTGATGGAAATAACTTTCTCGTCTACTGAGTTCTCGGGTATTGATCTCCTACCAGGAGGTCCACTTATCGACTTAGAATATGCAGATGATATAGTCCTGTTTGGTGAAGACGCCGATAAAATGCAGAGTTTTGGTAGCACTAAGCAACAATGCCAGAATGTTTGGAATGGGCTTCCCTCCCTCTAAATCCAAGATGTTGCTTCAGAACTGGTCTGCGTCAACGCTTGAACTTAGGATAGGGAGTGAAGTAGTCGAACGCGTTGACAACTTCACTTATCTTGGAAGCCTGATCAGCCTTAATGGGTTGGTGCCTGTTGAAATCTCAGCATGGATTCAAAAAGCTCGTTTGAATTTGCCAACTTATGTCACCTGTGGCGAAGGCGAGATATCCGTCTATCAATAAAAGGACGAGTATACTTTGCGGCCGTCCGTTCTGTTTTAATTTACGGCAGCGAAACATGGCCATTAAGAGTAGAAAACACTCGTAAGCTAATAGTATTTGACCACAGATGCCTAAGAAATATTGTTGGCGTCTGTTGGGATCACCGGGTAAGTAATAGTGAGGTTCGACGCAGGGTACTAGGAAGTGATGGTAAATCAGTTGATGAGGTTATGAATCTTCATCGACTGAGATGGTTGGGCCACGTGTTACGTATGCCTGAACACCGATTACCACGACGTGCAATGCTATCCGGTATTGGAAATGGTTGGAAGAAAGTTAAGGGCGGTCAAACTAAAACGTGGCATCAGTACTTGAAGTCACTAACTTCTAGTCTGAGCCATGTTGGTAGATGCAGACTACTTGGTTGGGGTCCGCGTGACTATTGTAACCAGTGGTTGGAGACTCTTGGTGACATGGCTCAGAATCGAACACAAAGGCGTAGGTGTATACACTTTCTGTCTTCCCTTAAACTATGAGATTAAAATTGCTTCATATCATTCTTTCTACGAACTAATTCTTTTTTCCTGTACTATATCCTTACATGCAATCTTTCTTTTATGTATTACCACCATTGAATTAACTTCTTCTAGGAATCCAGGGTTCATCTTGTTGTGTTAATGAGGTATGGCAACTTGTACCGATGCATATGTGTGCCTGATCCTACGTTGTCGCTGACTGATTGACTGACTGATTTCTGCTAGCTTTCATTTTTGTTCCGTTGATAAACATGAAAATACATTTTTGTTATTTTACCGAAATTCACTAACAAGGAATCGAGTTGGGTTTTTTTTCAAAAATGCTTTCAATCATACAAGTGTTATCGGCCGAAGACCTCTTTGTTTAGATGTTTTTTCAAAAATAGTGCGAGTTCTTTTCAATTAGATTTTCTCCTCTAAGGACACTTAAAAGCTCAAAGATTAATTAGTAAATATAATATTAGTTGTTTAAAACTACATTTTATGAATATCCTGGTGAAAATTTGTGTTTGTGTTAATTATCTTAAATCCAGTGTATTTTTAACACTACCATCCAGTGTAGTTTAAAATAACTTGAGCGAAACATAAAACTTTCTTTAATTACCTGAGTAATAGGAATAAGTTTAACTTGTTTTAAAGACTAAATTAGCTGCCACTTTTACTAGACATGTAACCATTCAATTTCTGGGGTTATATTTTCATTTCTTCAAAATATAAAGTAAATATTTCCTATGCAAAGTTTTTTGAAGTGTCTGTGATAAGTACAATAATTCCTGGTTACACAAATCTTAAAAGACATTTCAACAAAACCTTTTGGCCAGAAAAGTTATACATGATATAAAAAATTCAGATATTTGTTAGAAACTAAGGTGACTGTGTAGCATTATATTCTATCTTGTTTTCCAGTTATTCTGAATGATCTATGAAAATGTATTATATGCTGTAGACTTTGGTCGAGATGACGTACTAAAAGCCCTTAGTACTTTGAAAACGGAAAAATCAACAAGACCAGATGAACTGCACCATAAAATATCGTGACGAATTGAAGAATATACTGTTGCCCCACTGACTACGATATTCAGTATGTAACTTGAACAAGGTGAGTTACCTACGGACTGGAAGGATGCAGTTGTCACTCTAATGCATAAAACAGGATCAATAAAGCTTTTATCAAACTACAGACCTGTCAGACCCACTAGTGTCGTATTTAAAATACGAGAATGAATTATCAAAAATGCAAAACTAACATTCGTGGAGATCAAAAACGTGTTAAACAGCGTGTAACATGGTTTCAAGAAAGGATTAAATTGCACAAGAAACCTACTTATGGCAAGAAAGCAATGAACTAAGGATTTAGATAATGAAAGATCAGTGGAGATTATCTACGTTGATTACAGCAAAGATTTGGTAGGATAACAAAAGTAGACCACTATTGAGGCTGGAAAATCTAAAAGTTCACGAACCTCTCTTATAATTGATAAAGGATTTCTTGGTGGGTTGTAGATAGAAATTAAGAATAAATTCCCAATGCTCCTTCTGAAAACCAGTACTTAGTGGAATATGGGAAGGCCTCTTTCTAGGCTCTTTAATTTTATACTATTTCTAAGTGAATTCCCAAGTAAAGTTGAGTCCCCAATACCATTTTATGATGACAATGCTAAAACCTAGTGAGAAATAACAGGAGAAACAGATTCATGTGCACTTTAAGCGGACTTAGATGTTCTGGCTAGCTGGTCTAAAAGATGGCTGATGCCTATTAACGTGGGCTAGTATGTCTACATGCAAATTAAGAATGTGAGGGTAAAACGGTACAGCATAGAGGAAGATTCAGTTGAATTAGTCTGTCACACAAGCATTATTGAGTGACAGTGAGGTATTATTTTACGACCACGGTCCAATGCCACGAGGTTGCAGCTAGAGAGTTTAGAATCCTATGTGCTTGATGACGAATATTTACCGAGTTAGATAGTCAGTCAGTAACAACGTAGAAATTCTTACATACGTACATCAGTTCGAGTTGCCATACTACAATGTTACACAACCCTAGTGTATTACAAACTTGAAAATGAGTTCAGGCTTCGAGTGCCTGTTTAAAAGGTGGCTTAGACGTCTTGAAAAACGTACAGAGACCAGCTACCCGCTCAATCATATAAATTTGGGGTTTGCAATACAAAGGGCAGCATGAGAAGCTAGACCTCTATGTTCCGTCCAACCGTAGATTAAGAGGTGGTTTAATTTTGATGTATGAAATTTAACTTTTTACTTAAGCCCGTTACTCTTCGTGAAGGACCATAGACCGCTCACCAGAGTTCCCTATCCAACCCTGTCCTGTGTGATCCTTTCCAGTTCTTATTCATCCTTTCCATATCTACTTCTATTTCCCGACGTAATGTGTTCTTTGACCATCCTCTTTCCTCCTTTCCCTTCAGGATTCCACGTTAGGACTTGCCTCGTGATGCAGTTTGGTGATTTGCGTAATGTATGTCTAATCAATTTCCATCGTCTTCTACTAATTTCCTCTTCAGCTGAAAGCTGATTTTTTCTTTCCCATAGTAGGCTGTTGCTGATAGTATTCAGCCAATGGATGTTGAGTATCTTGTGTAGACAACTATTTATAAGTACTTGTATTATCTTGATGGTGGTTGTAGTAGTTCTCAACGTTTTGGCTCCATACAGTAGAACTGTTTTGACGTTCATGTCGAAGATTCTGACTTTGATATTGATTGAGAGTTGCTTTGATTTGCATAAGTATTCAAACTGTAGGAATGTTGTTCTTGCTTTGCCAATCCTTGCCTTTACGTCTGCGTCCGATCCTTCTTGTTCATTGATGATGCTTCTCAGGTATGTGAAGGATTCTACATCTTCCAGAGTTTCGCCATCAAGAGTGATTGGATTGCTGTTCTCCGCTTTGAATTTGAGGACCTTGTTTTTCCCTTTGTGTATACTGAGGCCTACTGATGCATAGACTGTTGTTACACTGGCTGTCTTTGTCTGCATCTGTTCGTGTGTATGGGATAGGAGGGCTAGGTCATCTGCGAAGTCTAAATTGTCTAGACGACGTATGCAATACTAAGGAATAATTTTGGACATGATATATCCGTTTCTTCTCTCGACCAAACTTCGATATCTCAAAAGACATAGCAAGCGAGTAGAAAAACCAAGAACGAGTAAAATATTAGTGACATACAGGTTTTCACACCGAGTCATCAATTCTTGAAATCTATTACTCAACGAAGTGGTCTCCGCTCCTTCAACTGACTCATTCAAGTGAAGAATAGATACTTTCGGAATCTTACTACAAAAGAGCTAACACAGGCTGTAGGTCTTCTATTCTCAATACTTAACTTAAAAATCTGAATCTGACATTATATTAACCGGTCATATGTGTCTAAGCACATCAGTTTATTAGTCTTATGAACACACCTATTGGGAAAGTTATCATTTGACATACACTTATTCAGTCGTGAGCTCAAAGCACAAGAAAACCTCATATAGAAATTTAAATTCAACAGATACATATCAAGAAATATTACTCTTATGCAAATTGTTGAGTTTGAGGGGATCACAGTTAGATTGCTTTTACCTGGACAAACAAAAATAATGAAGATCAGATGTTTTACATGCTAAGTTAGAGATAGTGAATTTTGAATTTTTAAACTAAAAAATCGATGAGCATTTTTGTCTTATACGTTCAACAAATAGATTGTGGTCAGAAGTACATATGCAATCAGAAACTCAATGGTCAACAGAAACAAATAGAATGACACCTTATCGAGAAAATGATACTAGTCTAACTAACAAAGGATTTGAGAAGCAGATTTTATTTTTTTTCGGGGCTGCCTGCTGTGTTGGTCAACTTACTTATTAGCTCTGAATCTGGAGACTGTGTATACAACAAGATGATTACAGAAAAATTCCAAAAACGTTATTTCGAGCATGCCAAAAGACATGTTGCGCCTCCCTACCTGCTCTTAGATTCGTCCTTTTCTTTTCTTTTTCTGGGACGGATTTTGAATAATCCATCACATTTTGCTAGGCTTTGCATTGATAAGTTAGCAGCATTTGGAGAAAAATTGTTCCCAATAGATTGACTAGGTGAACGCCAGTATTTCTGTTCCTTGAATGGAGAAGCTTTAGTCAGGGTAAAAGAATTCATTAAAGGTGGGTGTGTAGCATTCCGTGTGACCATCTGGATACAAAAAAGTTTATCAAATAAATTGACATACAGCATACAGTGACGATGGGACTTCGGGCTTCACTATGGGTGGAAGTGGGGGTAGTTTCTCTGTTGAACTACAACTAAATGTTGGCGTCGAGAGCCTCTTTAAATGTCAATATGAATTAATAAACTTTATTATTCAACAATTACTTCAACTATCTCTTCATATTTCTTTAGTGACCAGTTCCTTTCAAAACACTCTTGTACCTGTTAAAGTAAACTAATGAAAAGACAGATTACCACATGACAGTTCTCAGACATTTTATTATTGCATCAAATTGGATGAATTGCAAAATAAAATAAATTCTTTTCGTTACGACTTCATAAATTCGGCGTTGCTATTCGAGATATATAAATTGTTTCGGTTTGATAAAACAAAAACACACAGAGTACATCATCATGTGTTAACAATTATCTTGTATATTTAGCAAAAATTAGTTGAAATCAGGTGGTTAATTTTCTTAAACATTGAAGTATAGATGGACTGTTGCATGATGAAATTAGTGTTTATAGCAGTGCGTTGAAGCCTCTACTTAGTGAATTACAAGTTAACTTATTGAGAACATTTAAAGTGTTATGTGGAGATGATGTATCGCTTCCAGAATGCAGGAAAACTACTGCCTGAGGATGCACTGTCAAGAATTCCCATCATATAACATTACGACAGAACTTGGTACGTTTCTCTTCCTCTAGACAACTTGTATCTGAGGTCCATTTCCATCTGCTTATGATCAAAATAACTACTCCTTTAAATAATATTTGTTTTCCTCATTACTTTTTGAGGAATATCGTTAAAGTATGTCTTGACTTATGTATCGTCATCTGAAGGCTATCTAATTACAAAGCTTAGGCTCTATCAGGTAGTACTAAACATAGTAAGAAACGGTTTCATTGTTTTCTTCTGTAGTTTTTAGAAATTATGTGCAAATATTTTTCTCCCAAAATAATTATCAGATCTTTCTTTCATAAGACACAATTTGGTGAGCTAATTGCTGCTACAAATTCATCTTTCTTTTTCGTAGTAGCTAACAATATAGAGCATTTGATTTGTTCAATTATTTCCAAAAACCACCGATAGTTCTATTCCTTCTTATTCTCTTACTATAAACCAAGCATGTATTCCTCCAAGATAAACAAATGCAAAAGTGTGTGATCTCGATCTTCGGAAAATATCTCAATAATATAGATTTCGGTGGCTCGTGTGTGCGGTGATGGACTGTGTTATATGTTGCCACTAAGTTGTCTTTGGTTACTGGAATGAGATGGTGTATAGAAGCTGTAAAAAATGATCAAGGATATACGGAACCCAAACCTCTGACTAAATGGTCAGTGTATGTTGTTCCTATATAACTTCAGGCCCACGTGTTAGCTGACTTTTTTCATCCCCATCTTGAGGTTTCTACGAGTACAAGTGAGTCTACCTTATAACCAGCGGCTTCACTTAAACACCCTCAGTCTGCGACAAGTTGGGGTCAAAACACAACAGACACTCGTTCAGTCATATGTGACTTGGTACCTACTAGCGCTAGGTCAGGTCATCACATTATATGATCACCATAAGAGAAAATCTTGAAGACAGATCTTAGATTGTTGGCAGTGTTGATAGTGCAAGTAATAGTACTACGTAGGATGAAGTTCATAGAAACTAAAGAAGTTATTAGTACTTTCCAAGATCTATGATCTCTGAAAAGAGAAAAAGCATCTTATTGACACTTGTGAACCATCTTTTCATGAATCTGTAAACTTTGATCACGATAGTCAGGTGGACACCAACCAGACAATCGTAACCTAACAATTCAATGGCCAGTGACCTCATGTGTTGTTACTACGTTCTGGCCTAAGAATTCTAGCTTTCTGTCTACGAAAACATCATAAAACATAAATGCAGGCGGAGGATAAATATTTGTTATGCATCCCTGAACAACCTCATCCGGTGAATATTCACTAACACGTCGAACAGTTTGCTAACTCTACATAGCACCTACAGCCAAACTTCACCGTTATTCACTTCATATTCTCAAGAAAAACGGACAATTGCTCAAAGACACACATAATTAAATACCCACAGCCTAGAAGCATGCTCTGTTCTTAAAATTAATGCTTCAATGATATAAAGTAGTGCAGAGCAAACCGCTGCTCAATAAATTGTTCTTTTAGTTAGCAGATGCAAATTAAACTATGTTAGGAAATATCTTATGTTCACAGTAAAACCATTTTTGGTGTATAACGCATCTAATGCTATCCATCTGTTACTCATCAAACTTTCGTGATAAGTCATTGATAGGGCGACAAAAGTTCTATCCTAACTTGGGTGGCCGAAAATGAACTTTTCAAAACGTTCTAGCAAACTGATTATTCCGGCCAGGGAAGGTAATATTTTTGCATTTATTCCCCAATTGAGCACTCTAAAATGCCGTAAGTCATCTGCTACTACATAGTTGGCGGTTGTTGGTGATTAACCTGTTGCCCAGTGCTGATTCAAAGGCTATAGAGTAGATGAGCCTTTTTTGATTGACATCAGTTTTTATACTTTTCACAAAGTGTTGTTGAGTATTCATTGATTATAAACTGTTACTTTGTCTAGTTATGTTTGAGTTTTCTGAGTAAAGCGTTTCATTGATGTTGAAAATTGTCTTCAAATTCATTTAGTTTCATGAGACTGGATAAGCATTAAATCTCTTGATCTCTGATATTTTTGCGCAACAACAACATGACTAACATTTTAAGGGATTCGACGAGGATCTTTTTCGCATTCACTTCCGTAATCAGTAGCACGTTTCCAGTGGGCTTTCATTTAGTTTATCTTTCAAACGTCCCCACATTCAATTTGTCTTCATGGAAAGTTTGGGTGTCGGTTAGTCTATAGTTGTTGGCTTTAGGTCAGTAACTCATACTTGTTATAAGAAACATGTATAAACTTGACCCTACACATTCCTCACACCACAACTAACCGTCAGAGATACGGATTGTTTTGTTTGCAAATCGTGATTTTACAGTGCATGTAAAACTGCTGTGCCGTGATTATGCACATGGCACAAGCTGAAAGCTATAGATCAGTAAGAACATTTTTATAACTTGATACAAACCACAAAGGAAACCATATATATCACAAAAAATCTAGCTTTTCATCTGTTAGTCAGATTTCTTAAAAAATGCAATTATTCACAAGATTCAAAAGCTTCTCATCATAATCAGGAGTATTTTAATCGATGTGTTAACTAAGATTTTTGAAATAGTGCAATCTAAGGCATGTGGAATGTGATAACTAGATGTATTCGAATTACTATACGAACTAGGAATCCCCGAAATAACGCAATTTAGACCAAACAGAACTAACTGAGCATAGACGAACGTATTGTATTTTGAATTCAAAAGCAGGCCGACATCAGATACAGAGGAATCATTTGTTCATACAAACACTGCATAAAATTAGATGTGCACAAATCAACGTATTACATTTGAAATTCTTAATCAGTGCAGTATCATATAGGATGATTCGATGAAAATCTTAATTCATAACAGAGTAAGATCGCTAAATGTCAATTCGTAAAGGTCATGAATACGTGATGAATATAAAATGGATCTGAGGGGTCGGCGAGACTATAATTTATGGACGTAATAATCATGCATAAGAAAATAGGTCTCACATTTGGGAGCGAAATTCATTCATCCATTCGGCTAAAAAGAGTTTTGGCATTATAAATGATGTCATTTCATGGTGAAAAACCGAAATCTAATTCTCAACTTTATCCATCAATTGCAAATCATCATTCTAATTCCTTATATTTGTTTATAACCCTCATTTGTTCTTATTTATAAGGTGGACACTCTCAAATTCACAAAGGCGTCGCTCGAATGTCGTCCATAAATTATAGTCACACCCAAATTTTATGTAGAACGAAAGAAAAAGATTGTTTAATGTATCAAGGGACCAACCATAATAATAATATATTATTTAAACAGGCATATGTTATAAATTGCTTTGATTGATATTTATCAATGCTGTAGACAATATGAAGCAAAATATGCGTATAAACGCCTAAGCTGAAGTGATATCATTTTAAACTACCACATTAATAATAGGATATTTACATTTGTGTGAATAAATCTTAGATGAATAAGTTCTCAATAATAAGAGATGTAAATGCAGCCAGATAAGTCAAGATAAAATGTGAATATGGTGTTATATCTGTTTAGAAATGTTTGATGTACAGTTTATCCATGTCGGCAGTAGGACGGTAACCCACAAATCATATTAGATAGTGGTTGAGTAATACTGTGAATTGGGTGGAACTAGAAATGCGAACCCTTGGGTGTGGATTAAGTAGCCTAATGTTCAAGATTTCATAGCAAAACTGAAGGCCCTACATCAGATCGTTTGTAAGTCCTGCACACACATTACTAAAGTGTCGTGCACTAGAATGGAACATATGTGATTGGTTGGCTAAAGCAGGTCGCTTCCAAATGTAAACTAAGGGACCAGACTATGTGTAAATTTCGAATAATACAACTAGGCTGAGACCTGAGAAATTTCAGTGACACTAGTTGAGTGTTGGAAAAGTCGACACTGAACTAGTTCCGTATGCTGAAGTGAAAAACTGTGCTGAGCAATACAGACAAATGGTACCGAAGAGATAAATATAATTGAAGCAGAATATACCGAAACAATACGTTCCTGTGGTATTTGTGCGAACTAATGATTCCTTTGTACTTGACTACCTGCTGATTAAAAATTCCAAATTTAATACGTTCATTTTTGCCCACTTGCTACAGATTGTACTATTTCAGAAATTCCTAGTTAGAGCAATAATTTGAATACTTCTAATTATTATATTTCTCTAGGAGGTGCGGTCACTGTTACACTAAGATCCTTCGTAGCACTAACTAGTAACAGTAGGCAGTCAAACATTAAGAATGCATAATAAAACCTCCGCAAAAATAATGCTCTAACCTCAAAAGAGCAGAACTACCACAAGTCAAAATAGAGCCATTGATCGTTCAAAACAACAAACTTTCTCAGCAATTATGAAAGCAATATTTATTCCATCAGTGATACATCAATTAAATTGGTTAAATCAAAGAGAATTGGTCAAGAGGTTGGTCACCCAATATCATGTCCGCCGGTGTTCAAAATCTTAAGTCAAACGAAAGTGAAACGTTAGTTGATGACCTCAACGACATCCAAGAACCGATCACACTTTAGAAGATGAAAACAAAGTACTAATAATAGTAATTACCAATAAACCGAGGGACAAGGTATAAATAGGTACAGACAACAACACAAGAAACTATATATATATGTGATATCGTAGTATTCTCTTGGTAGCATACAAACGGATTCTACG